CATCATCATCATCATCATCATCATCATCATCATCATCATCATCATCAGTTGAGATAGGTCCTAGCAGATCGCCTGACCAGCTCACCATGTGCTCGCCCAGACCCAACCAGATTCCTTCGAGCCTGGGCTGCATCAAGGCTTTTCGGTGCCCACTGCAGGAATGGAGAAATGTTCACGTTTTATCATTTGTTCATTCACACTCCCTGGAATCATAATGAATCAAAGTGGAGTGAGTGAAAACCCACCTGTTTGCTCTTCTTGGCTCTTCGGAATTCATGGTCAGATGAACTCAGGGCCACGTCATCCACATCGATTATTCCTGGGAGTATACATCTTCGATTGGTATCACATGGTCACACCGAAGCTTTCGCCCAACCTTTCACTACAGAAGAAACGCAACGCAGGAATGATGCATGGGCGAAGGAAGACTGGAGAACCTCCAGAAGGAGGCTCCCCGGGTATTTGCGGTATTTGCATCCTTCCTTTTATGCTGAGACGAAGAGGTTTCGGCAACTTGGAAAGGTTGGCAGTTGTTGGCAGGTTGTCGAATCTTGAAGACCTCTCACAAAGCCAAGCTTCTGTCAGTCCCCCTGTCACTATATAGTATGTCTTGGTTGGGTCTTACATGGTGCCATGTACAAAAGTGATCTAAACGAGTAACTCCTGACCCCTGAAATGCCCAATCTCCTTCTGAAGTGAAGTTTGAAGGTGAGAAGGTACTTCTGAATAGTAGTTCTTCTTGAGTTTGATGTTGCGCTATGTTGAGAGAGGACTTCTTACTACCCGTTTGACCATTTGCATCTGTCTCACGGTCTCACGAGGACGTCCTCGTGAGATCTCTACATCTCATCCCATCCAGCTGAAGCGAACCGATAGGTCAGCTCCGCCATCCGCCGCCAGAGGTGTGGAAGGGGGGGAGTGGACGACATGGTGTCACTATGTAATTACTTACCAGGCCCTTGCAAAGAGACCGTCCCGGAGATCTCGGGATGAGAGGTGACTTAGTTCAAGAGGTCGCTTGGAGTCTCCAAAGAGGTCACTTTGGTCCTGGTATTTGTTCCCGTTTGGATCGCACCCATGGACCGATGACAAACCATGGACTCTTTTATATCACAGGATTGTCAACCATGTCAGTTATATCGTGCACCCGGCGCGGGGCACCACGATGTTCCCCGCTGCACCGGAACCGCCGCTTCGGGCCGAGACGCGCAGGGGGGAAGGGTTCTTTGGGCCCCGAAGCGAGACCGGGAGACGCTTACCGGTGTCTCTGGTGACCGTGTTTTGAACATGGGCCTGTTTCTTTCTGCAACCCGTGACCTGTTTGGTGTGCACGTCTTTAGCGGCACTAACTCAAAGTTCCAGAAAAGAAGCTGTCTCTCAGTAGACCTTGCGCAGCAAGTAGACAATAAGAACCACACAAAGCCAATTAATTTAGTATCTAAGTAGTAGCGAAGTCCAGGACAAGCCTGGTGAGAACTTGCTTTTCAATACAAAATCATCACTCTTTCACTCTTTCACGCCGATCTGAAAAGGCGGCTTATTGCGGCCTTGACAGGTGAGTCAGGGGCAAGTCATGACGACTGCCAACAACTGGAAATGGACCTTTGTCGGTCCTCTGGAATGGGTATATCGAACCCAGGATCCCGGCTCGCCGCCGGCAAACATGTCAACCCTGCCGCTCGCCGTCGAGTGGCACCTCCAGGTAGGTGGCGTTGGAGCCACTGATCAACTCCGTCCCTCCTCAAGGGAGACCAAGCCACCGGCATGCATTGACACCAATGGAAAAGCACCGCAGAGTCCGGACGTTGTAAACGGAACGGTCGTGGGGCTGGCGTGTATTGCAGCAATAGCCTCAAAGCTCGACTGAACCACTGGACCTGTTTGGTAAACTCATGGCCTCGAAGCCGTTCTAATCCAGGCAAATTCGGATCGCTCCAATGTCTGGTGTCAGAATGGTAAATTGGACCCACCTTACCAAAGGACAGCTGGTAATCCACATAGAGTTGAGTGGGCGAGACCCAACTGCCCCACACATGTCCAGTGCATATCACTTTCAACCATGCCCAGAGTCTCCGAGCCTGGAGTCCATGGAGGGATCCGAAGGCACCATGCACTGCTTCCGGAACCCCTGATGGACCCGGTGATGTCACGCACTGGGCCAGAGGAAGACGAGCTTCAGGACGATAATTGCCAATGGGAGGGCTGTGCGAGGACTTGCTCAGGCGAATGGATTCCTCGCCAATGGCACAATGAAGCTGGAGGATGTAGTCACCAATCTTCTCAACTTCTTGAAGCTGTGTCAAGAGTCTGGTCCACGAGGCCCAAAATTCCGTGGGCCGATCATGGTTGAAGCTTTTGGCATATGTATCAACCAATGTATTGTGCCTCCTTGCCCAGTCCTCGACCGGTCCCATCACATCAGGGCCCACATGCGCAGCCACCTTATGGATAGAAATGGAATGATCCCGAGACAGCTCTGTAGCCACCTGCTCCCACAAATCAGCATCATTGGCATTTGGTCGGCCAGCGAAAGGGGCTTCCAACAAAACTTGGACTTGTTTCACCACATTGGCACAATCCGTCCAGATCCTGGTACGTCGACCTGATCGGTTACCAATCCTTATTGCTGCCAGCACCGCGACGATTTCAGCACGCCCGCTTGTTTGCCACAAACCATGCAGGGCCCCACCAGCCAAACACTGAGAGTCGTCCTCGTGGTTGTCTGAGTGAGCCTGAATCACAGCCCAAGATGCCAGCCGTAGCCGAGGATATGTTGGAAACAAGCAGCTACCATCTGTAAACAAGTTCAAGATGCCACCAGGAGCTGGCGGGTCTAACCTGTGCGATACATTTGGAATCTCATGCAACAATCGCAGGAACGGGAAGTATTCAACAGGTGCAGGGAGCCAACAATGCCAGCGTGTGCACTCCGGCAACTGATCAACCTGTGCAGGTCGGAGGGGTTCTAACTGTGCACGAACATGCTGAAAAGCGGGGCACCGCCAGACACGATGGTCAATGCTATCCAATGCTCCACAATGAAGACAATGAGCGTCCCCCGTCGGCGTAGAGTATTTGAGACCATCTTGGGTGAAGAAGGTGCCATCATGAGCCACTCTCAAAAGGCCTTTCTGGGCATCTGTAAGTGCCAGATGTTGACCCAGGGACAACTGAACATCCACTGCTTCCATCCCAGCAAACCCTCGCCTGGTCTGGCATAGTGTCCCCACCATATGTTGCCACGCCAACACCAACCGGAACTCGAGCTCTCGGAGGGAAACTCTCCATAAGCTGAATCGCCCAATGCGGTCAAGCAATAAGCCGGATGCCACATCCCAACTCCAGTGTATTCTCATGCAACCCATGAATAGAACCCACAATGGTCCAGGTGGGAAGCGACCCTCTTGATGTGTCAAGATCCAGTGCAAGTCGATTTGGACCTCTTGCTCATTCTGCAGCCTCCTGAAATCCAACAAAGTATGCCAGAATGCAAAAAACTCAGGATCATTAATGGGATGAAAAAAAGTGCGTTGGTACCCGGCTTATCCAAATGGAGCCCTCTCACCGCTCCCGCCCTCAGAGAAGCAAACTGTTGTTCAGTAATCCGTACTGAAGCACACGCATGCAATGCTCGAGGCCAGGCGGCTGTACGCACCGCTCGCAATTTTTGGAAAAAGGGGGCACACGAAAGCCGCAGCCTACCCCACAATGGAGTTAAAGCTTCGAACCGCACTGCCTGTAATCCAGTGGTGTGTCTTCTCCCATAAAAAACACAACCTCCCAGATCTTTGGCCCAATGTTGCAATGGCAAGTCCAACTCACGCAACCGTTGCCTATGACACCCCTGAGTCGCCCATACATATGTTTTCTGCCAGTCAACTTCCAACTGCAAAATGTCAGCAAACTCTCGAAATTGATGAAGAGCAACCTGCAAGTCCCGAGGATGGGAAGCTGTTATTTCCCAATTGTCAACGTAGGAGATTGGCACGCTATCTGGAGCATTGGCCTGCATCCATCTGTCAAATCCAATAGCAATTGCTGCCATCGCCACACAAGACAAAGGATCTCCCTCGGGGAACCCATTACACCCTAGGACCGGAGGTCCGACTGAACCACGGACCCGAAAATGTCGTTGAAGGGGAATCACCGCACCAGCCCAGGCACGTATCAAGCCATTTGCGAGGCCCAATGCATGACACATCATCCATGTTGGAGTCCTAGGCAGAACGTTGAACGCTTTGACCAGGTCAGCAACGACCCCCACCATGGGTTTATCATAGATCTGTGCTTGTTCCAACTTTCTTTGCAAGGAAAACCAGACCCGACCCGCGGTTTTTCCAGGCAAATTGCCAACAACATTGGGACCTGCAATCTTTCCCAAATGGCAAAGGGCTTGGCGAGCTCGGATCGTGCTCCAAACTCGATATACCATGGACAAAACAGTGATGGGTCTGAATTGTTGCACTTTGCTTGCCCCAGGTATCTTTGCCAACGCAGTAATGATCCCAACCAACGCTTGTCGAGGCCAAGACCCACTTCGCTCAGCATGATGGCACAGGTCAAGCAACTCTTGAGTCAAACCATCTGGAAGCTGTAATAGATCAAGTCGACTGACTCCATCTGGACCAGTGGCCGAGTGTTTCTTCTTTGTTTGAACTGCCCTGCGCCATTGTGGCAATGTGATAGCGTCCAAGTGCATGGGATGACCCGAAAGCAGAGGAAGAATCTCAGACTGGACCCGCAGCCATCGATCAGGCAGATTGTCAGAGTTTCTGTGCCACCATTTTTCCCATTCGTTGCCAAATGCTCGAAACAGTGAAGGAAGGTCACCCGTGGCAGTTTCTTGTCTGACAAACGTGCCAGGCACAACCCCCGACACGTCATCAACCCAGAGTTTGTCCGGGGTCGCATGAATCAGGGTGCGAGATCTGCCAGCCACTACCACTGACGACTCCGCTTGGAATGCAGTCTCTGTTCGCAGGACCACGGCAGATTCCTCATGATCAACTGCCTCCACTTCGCATGAAACTGTCTGTATCAACACCTCCACTGAAGCGGCCTTCTCATCTTTGATGTCCCGAAAAATGAGGCTAGGATCTTCCAAGCGACGTTGGTGTGCCCGTCGAACTCTAGTCCATTTCAGCTGATGTTCCAGACTACGAACCTTGCTACGAAAGCAATCAAAGAGGGCATACGCCAGATCATACAATGGAGGGACCAATGGAATGCAGTCAGGAGCCCCTTCCAAGCCAACGCCATGCAATGCCCACCAATGTGCAAATCCCGGTCCAAAACCAGGAGCATGTCGGATCGCCCGCCAAAGCTCGCTTTGCTGTTGAACTTGGGAAATGGTCATCGACTCCCGGTCTAGTAACCTATAATAGGCCTGAAGCCTCCTCAACTGACGAAACCACTGAGCGTGTAGACGGGACGGACCAAAGAAATCCGGAAGTTCATCCCCTGGTCGGCCCTTGCGAACCAGTGGAACTTGAGTCGAACGCACTTGCACCTGTGTGGTACTTGCACGGCCTCCATGTGCTCTGCAAAAAGGGCCCAATTGAGCCACCTCAGTCTGTCCTCTCAGGTCACATTCGAACTGGCGAAAAATGCCCTGATACCAAGCCGAGGGGTCATCCCGATCAAAAGAGTATCCCCCATCAGTTGCAAATGGTTTACTCCCCAAGTCTGATTGCCACGAGGGCTTCTGCGGCATGCGCCAAAAGGACCTTGGAATCTGACTTCTCAGGCCAGTAAATACTCCAATTAGGACTGCATGATCAGCGAAGAAATCAGGCAGCACTGTAATGTCCACCAAACAATGTTGCAGCTCAGGAGATAAGTACAACAAATCCGGTTGTGTTCTGGCCTTGCATGTCTTCTGAACTTCATGTCCCCATCGGGC